ATATGTATAGTTTATTTATTTGTTTTAGTTCACTTAGTTTGCATTATTTTTGTACTTAAAGTTAAACTACATTTTAAAAAGAAATGTTGCCTTGGCAACTAGCTGAAATAAAGCAAGTTCAATTTTTTATATTTTAATTTATTTAAGAAACTACTCAGTAAACCTTAGCAACGGGATAACAACCCTAGCATGGATTGCTATTAGCAAACACCTCTTGCATATTCTTCAGAGAATGCAAAAATCTTGTTGCTATAATTTGGTCACATTTCTTGTTCCCCTCAGATCTGTGTGTTCCGGCTGCAGACTCATCAATGGTGCTTCCTGTTGTGCAGCGTCATCTTGTTTCACGCGCTGCTCTTTGGCGCCGACATAGTGGAAGAGTTTCTCCTGCAGTCGTCTCCCGCCGCTTACACCGACCGCTTTGTCCTGGAGGTCCGGGAGCGTGCACGTAAACTGGACCTGACTGAGACCAGGCTCAACACCTCACAGCTTTACCCCATTAACAGCGAACCTTGCCTACATCATCAGGACCTCCTCATCCTCACGCTGGTCCTGAGTACCCCAGGAAACTCGAGCCAGAGGGAGGCGGTGCGAAACTCCTGGGCCAATCAGACGTCGGTGCACAGTGTTGCCGTGCGGACTTTGTTTTTCCTTGGCTCCTCCCATTTAGGTGCGGAGCTTGAGATGATGAGGGAGGAGTCTGCACGCTACGGTGACATTGTGCAGTTCGAGGGAGGAGTTTCAAAGGGCAACTGGCAGAGAGGACACTGGGAACAAGTTAAAATGGCACTTCGATGGATCCTACTTTTTTGTCCACAAGCCCGATTTATCGTCCTTTCTGAGGATTCTGTGTATTTAAACCTTCCTGCGCTTACATCATACCTGCTAGGACTGAGAACGCACCCTGATGACCTTTACCTAGGCAGGGTCATCCATCGGGCCGCACCTGAGCGGGACCCCGACAAACCGCATTACCTGCCCCATCAGGTGTACCCTGAGAAGTACCTTCCAGACTACTGCTCTGGCCCCGCCTTTCTTCTGTCTCAAGACGTTGTGAGAAAAGTTTACATCGCCGCTGAGGATGTATCGTTGCCCCTCCCCTCCGACGTCCTAATTGTCCTGTGTGCAAGACGGGCCGGTGTGGTGGCCACTCACAGCGCTCGGTTTTCTGGCGACCGACACATCCGCTATAACCCCTGCTGCTACAACTTCCTATTCAGCTCTGCCAGGATGGGGGTGGGGATGATGGGCGTGGCCTGGTGGGATTTAGGGACGGGGAAAGGGAGGAGCTGTGGCATGCTGGAGACTTATTACAGTTTGGTAGTGTGCAAAGCAATGACATACCTGGATCAACTTTCTTTTCTGAATAATGACAAATCTCAGGGCTAGAACGGATGGGGAAAGTTGTGTGTATAAATTATTGTAAATATTCAGTTTATCAAAATATGCAAAGTATTATAATTCAGCTGTTGTATTATTTAGAGCATATAGTGTTTCTGTTACTCTAAAAGGCCTTAAAGTCAACATATCAAATCTAAGCGGTAAATTGGGGTAAGAGATTAATACATATTTTAGCAAGGATGCATTAAATTGATCGAAAGTGACCGTAAAGACATGTCACAAATGAATTCTATTACAAATGATTGCGGTTCTTTTGTACTTTCTTGAGCAGCAAATCAGCATATTAGAATGATTTCTGAAGGATCATGTGACACTGAAGACTGGAGTAATGATGCTGAAAATTCAGCTTCGATCACAGGAATAAATTACATTTTTACATTTAAATAGAAAAGAGTTATTTTAAATTGTAATATCTCATAATTTAACTATTTTTACTGTATTTTTAATCAAATAAATTGGTGAGCATAAAGGATTTTTTTTTTTAAAAAACGTTACAAAATTTTTAATTGGGGTTGCAAACTTATTTTCACACTGACTCTAATGATGATTCATCTGTGTCGTAACTACAACAGTGTTAGAAGTGCTAGAAAAAGTGAGTGAATTATTTATTGCTTTGTTAACACAATGTAATGCATTTCATACATTATTAAAAATAAATGAGCATATTACAGGCAATAGATACACTCTCTTGTCTCTCTTACTCAATATATTCACAAATAAATGCCAAAGATGATATTATAAAGGGGTGTATATTAAAATGTTGTTTGTATTTGATTTTTGCACATATGGTCTCATTATAGGCATTTAAAACAGTCTGCTTGGCCCTCTAGTGTTAAAATGGATATACTGCTCCCTCAACATATTGAGTAATTTACAATTCTACTAAATTAAACTAATATGCATATTACAAATGAGCTTGTACAAAGCGTCTAATTTTGTGCATGTCATCTATAGTAGCTTGGACCAGCCAGAAACCACATAAAACCAGATGCCACCATGTTTCAGCTGGATTTTCCAATTAATGTTTGATACAGAAAGACGTGCTTGTGCAAAATTTTAGACCAAACAGGCATTTAAGCATTTCAACATTTTTATTACAAAATGAGCACATACAAAAAGGATAATGTACAAGCTTTGAAATTAAACAAAATGAAAACGAAACCAAAAACATTTTAGCGATGCCACTTTTAAATTCATCATTAGTAGTAGTAATAAATAAGGTACAAAAATTCCACCAAAAGAGAATTCTAACATTTTACACACTTTTTTTACTCGACCAGTTACATACTAGCAGTCACACCAGCAGGAGGCGCTATTGCTTTAATATGAATGATAAATAGTCTATATTCTGCTAGAAAATCCGCTAGTGAAAAAACACCCACAGCATGCGGCACCCCTGTCACTGGCACTTTTAGGACAACATTATTATTATTAATGTCTTTTTTTGTTTGTTTTGTTTGTTTTTCAAATGCAAGCAGCAGCAAAAATCAATCTTCTAATATCATTAGTAGAACATCTGCACTAGTCTTTATTTTCTCTATGTAGCTGTATATTTCTATTTAGTCATGTATATATTCAAACCTGAGAAAAACATGCATTTTAAATCTGTTGTGCTTTATCATACTCTGTTAGTCCTGACCCTGCCATGAGACAGGGAGAAAGAGAAAGAAAGAAAGAGAGAGATAGAGAGAGACTGGCAAAATAAACTAGGACGAAAGAGGATTCACATGCCCTGGAGACAGTCTGAAAGCGCTGATTGACAATAACAGATGAAACCGAAATAGGCACAAAGAATGAGAGATTGAGAAAAAAATGAGCTTGTTCCAAAATCTAGTGAGCCTCCTACTTAGACTAGACAACAGCATATGCAGTGACTAAGATTACATATATATTTAACAGAGACATCAATCCCAGAATGCATTGCGACAAGCTGTCGTCACAAAAGCTGGCGGAGAATGCGGGCAAATCATAACTAATCCATTCAGTGCCCAAATATATTGATAAAACAGTGGACCATTTTAACCAATATGTATGCATGCTACATATTTTTAAGCATAGTACTTTGTTAGCTTAGCAATATGCTAATATGAAACTACACTGTTAAAAAAAAAAGTAGTTATAAATAATGCATATTATTGATCCTTTACATTACTTACATTTAAGTATGCTTTACAACAAAAGAATACTCCAGTTTCCTTAAATATTTCATGTTAAATTCAATGTGCCACTTGCCGTTTCTTTCCCATGTGAAAATTTCTACACCCATTTTTTACCCCCAGTGTTTTAGACGTCGGATCTCTTGTGCACTTTGTATATTTGTTGCGGTCTATGTACTTTGTTTGAAATCAGTCACTTAAAAGGTTTCTTTTCAGTTAGTATGCTGCCTTAGAAGGTAACTACCTATGTAGGGCAGCTCACTAGATTTCAAACACACCCTTAAAAAGTGAGAGAATGTAAACATCAATAATTTAAGGCTGCTAAAGGAAAAAAGCATAAGAAAAGAGAAAGCAAGTAGAGGATGTAAACATTAACAAGAATAAAACTGTTAAACAGAGAAAGACCAACTGTAGACAGACATGAGACGAGAGAGGTAAAGATTATGTAAACATTAACAATGTAAGAAAGACTTCCAGAGAGAAGAGTAGAGAAAGAGAAAGAGAAAGATTGTGTTGCAAAGGTCGCCAGAGTGGTAAAAACAATGCCAGTGAGAGGGTGGCCTTCGAAAACTAAGAGTGCAAACAGGACAGCGAATCAAAACCCATAATACTCCCACTCCGCTGCCATGTCTGACCAATCAGCAAGCGGAATGTCAGTAAGGTCACAGCACCAAAGGGAGAAACACACACGAACACAAACCGCATGCGAAGCATTCCCGCAAACCAACTCAAACATGAGGTAAGAGTTTTAATCATTGTTATTTCTAAATAAATAAAATATGATTCCATTGCAAAAAAATGAAACTATACAAAATTAAATACGTACCCACGATATCTACAGTTAGTAATAAATTATGATTGTTAAATACTTAAGGCATTTCAACGGACATAACCCTGTGTAAACGATCAACACGAGCCATCATCCGCCAATCAGCACACAGAACACTGGGGGGGTGTTCAACGCGCAGGCAAAAATGCAGCTCATTGGCTGATACGAATACAGCTTTGTTTTGAACTGAAATGTTTTTTAAAATTGACTTTTGGATCACAATGAAGCAAAATTGAACAAAAAATAAAAAGTATGCTTTATAGAGAAGGCAATCTCAGAATGCATTTTGTATTAGAAAAGTGGTGGAGAATGCGGGCAAAATAATATGATTTATGATTTTGTCTCACAATTCCGAGTTTATATATTGCAATTCTGACTTTTTTTTCCTCTGAATTCTGAGTTTACATCTCGGTTTACATTTTTTTGTTTGCTTCTGCAAGCAATAAATAATAAAACAAGTAGCACTTTTTTCTCACAAAAATTTCCCGCAAGTTTTTTTTCTCTCAGAGTTGTGAAAAATGTCTGAATTACGAGATAAAAAAAGTCACAATTAAAATATATAAATATATATATATTTTTTTTTTCCCCCCATAGTGGAAACAAGCTTACATAGTTTACTGCTTATATAGGGTAGATTGCTAGATTTTAAACACACCCTGAAACAGACCATGAGAAAAATTGCCAAATGTACATAAAGCAAAATTGAAACAGACATTTTGGGAAAAAACTATCCACATAAAAAGAACATACTTTTTGCAAGTTGTTAAAATTAAACTTAAAAACAACTAAAGTGATTAATCCTATAAACAACTAAGGCCAGAAACATACGCATTGCATAATGTGCATTTTTGCAAACTTCAGTGCTCAAGAGGGCGCCAGTGTTCAAACTTCTGCACCATTAAACTGGATGTGCTATTGTTTGTGTAGCTAGCTGTAAACATGTCAACTTTATGAAATTTGAGCTGAATCCGAAAACTACCTGCGTATGTTTCGGGCCAAATACGAATAATTCCGGCGTCGCGCTCATCCGTCTCAACCTGCTTGTGTGCTGTTGGCGGATGGTCCTCTATCACATAACATTCTATTTACATCTCGTAGCAATACAGCATAGCAACCAGCATAGCAACCACGAGGGGAGACCTGTCACAAGAACACCGTTGGACACACACAAGCCCCGCCCCCTCCAAACACTGCATGTTTTAAATACCAATAATAAATACAGTAACCATGGCAGCGCAGCACCAGAGTGAGGCCGGGCACTTTAGCTATGCTCACATGTGCTTTTTTCAGTAGGCATTTAGGGTCAAAGGTCATGGCAGGGTCTCACTCACGCGCGCGCGCGCACACACACACACGCTACATGAGTCTGATAATGTTACGGATCGTCACAGCTTAAAGGAGCTAATACACATCCATGCATTCGCGCACACAACCACTTTCAGGTATACCTTGAAACAACAACCCAAGCACAGATGCATGCAACTACTACTGCGCCTATCTACACGAATCAACCAATCACTATATTCTCCGCCTACTTTTTTTTTTGTAAGACAACAGCCCTCCTGCTGTCTCGGAAATTAGTTGCTTTTGTGTTTTCGTTTTTTTTTTTTCTTGTTGTTGCGTGTTCTTTTTTGGCTTCTCTACATGCACCGTCGTGCACCGCTAACCCATGAAAATATTAACACGCATACACGCACCAAAATGGTGAACAAGCGCACAAATGCACACACGCAAGCCAAAGTAGCTCCAGTGTGTAAGACAAAAGCAGTATTGCAGATCAGAAATACAGTGGACACACACACACACACACACACACTCCAGCAGCTAGATTTGACTGTCTTATCCGCCATTGTGTATATATTATATTTAGTGTGTAAGTGTGTGTGTGTGTATATTGTATGCAAGCTGAGGGTCTTTAGTAAAGTTCATGGCTTAAGAAATTGCACAAATACACACACATATGCTACAGACACACACCATTTCCCTAAAGACAGAATCACTCCTCGCGACAGACCCTTTTAGTTTCTACCAGCACGTGTGTGTGTGTGTGTGTGTGTGTAGTGTCAGTTATTGTCATTGGCTCAGTAAAGCGTGTGAGTGTGTGTTTAGTGTGTGTTGGATGGCTCATCATACACGTGTGTAGGTAATATACAGTGTGTGTGTGTGTGTGTCAATGAAAATGTCTGTGGATGTATAAGAATGAAATAGAGCATGTGTGTGAGTTATTTGTTAATGCGTGTTATTTCGCCGGGTGTGTTTCAGCTCTCGGGGGTGAGCTGTGTTTGGATGTCCACTCTGCAGATGGGACACTTCCTACTGGTGGCCAGCCACTGATCCACACACGCCTGATGGAACAAATGCATACAGGGTAAACGCCTGAAAACAGAGAGAGAGAGAAATAGTTTATTAGGATGAGTAGAACTGCATTAGCATATTGCATTTTGTATTTTGACATGCTCTGTTCTTGTTGTGTTTAGTAGTGGGCATACTGTATTTTGCATTGTTATTGTTAAATAAAACTCAAGCTATTAAGAACAGTTTTTATTAATTAGAATTATTATTTTATTAATAAGAATAGTTTTTAGTAATTAAAGTAAAAGATAAATATTAGATACAATTTGTAACAGCTTTTAGGTTAAATATACTTTTTTCCCCCCAAGAAAACAATAATTTACAAAGGAATATTCATAAAAAGAATATTCCTTTGTAGATTGTTATGATTATGGTTAAAAACAAAACTACTGAAATAAAATAAAAAAGTTAGATGAAAAACTGAACTGGAAAAAGTTTAAATTGAAGTTGTAAAGTTGCTTAAAAGTGAAATATAAATTATTTAAAGCTAAAAGGAAATATGAAAAAAAGACAAATGTACATGACAAAATTACTAAAACGAAAAACTGAAAGTACAAAAATAAAAGGCATTTTCGTGTAGTTTAAGGATGCAAACTTTTGTACCTCCTGTGGTTTTAAGTTAATATTTCAATCATTTTAAAACACATTTTCATGCAATTAATTATCTACTCACCAACTCCTGCACCTTCTGGTGTAATACTTTTGTTGAAAAGTTTGGGGTCAGTAAGAGTTTTAAACTTTTTAAATTAATAATTCTTTTCTGCAGGAAGGATGCAATAAATTGATTAAATGGGACAGAAAAGACATTTACAAGGCCACAAACAATGTATTTCAAATTAATCCTGTTATTTTGATCATGGTTTCCACAAAAACATGAAGCAGCACAACTGTTTTCAACATTGATAATAATCAGAAATGTTATTTATGCAGAAAATCAGCGTGCTTTGCATGTCATGATTTCTGAAGGATCATGTGACACTGAAAACTGGAGTAATGATGCTGAAAATTCATCTTTGATCACAGGAATAAATTACATTTTAATATATATTCAAGTAGAAAACAGTTATATTAAATTCTAATAATATTTCACAGTATTGCTGATTTTACTGTATTTTTGATCAAATAAATGCAGCTTTGGAGAGCAGAAGAGACTTTTTTCCAAAAACATTAAAATAAAATCTTACTGACCCATACTTTTGAACGAAAGTGAATAGTTTCATCTGTCTTTATTATATACTACCTGACATCTTCTCCATCCTCCAGCATGGAGAGGCAAATGGTGCATTTCTCATCCATATCCGACTCTTCCTCACATAACTTCAGATCCAGCAGCTTCCGCTACACACACACACACACCCACACAAGCGCAGACACAAGTGTGTAAGCAGCAGAAAACTGTAGGTTGGACATGAAAACTAAAGAGTGAATGTGAACAGTGTGTATGTACCTTCTTGTATTTGTGGGGGAAGGTGAATCTCTCTATGGTGGTCTGTATGGCCCCTCGGCTGACGCTTCCCAGTCGATCCTCCAGCTGTAGCAGCTCCTGCACACGATCACAGACTCAGTGTTAAACGGAGCAAAACATGAATGTATGCGAGTTACTGTTCATCTGTCTGTGTGTTTTACCTCATAACTCTCTCGAACAGCAGACGAGTGTCTGCTGGGACTCAAGCTCTGCAGCGCCAGCAGGTGAAGCTGTGGATATGGATAATTCCTTATCTCATGGACAACCTACAGGAAACACAACATACATGTCTGTCTTAAACATTGCAGACCCCATTCAACACTTGCACTTACTATAAAAGACTTCTAAATAAAAGAAGAAAAAAAAAATATATATAAATAAAACATATTTGATACTTTATATAAACACTATATTTGCATATAATGTGATATATTTATATATATATATATACACACTCACCACTTGGGTGGAGGAGGTGTTCCTGGGGAGGTGGTGCATTCTGGGAGAGGCCAGGTAATGCTGGTAGGGTTGAGGGATCTGCTGCAGAGGATACTGATATGGCACTCCTGCGTCCACGCTTAGGTCCCTAAAAAGCACACATTTTCATTTTAATAAAAGCAATTTAAAAACAACATCAGCAGCAGGGAACTTATGTACTGTATTTAAATTTTTTTCCCCAAATGTTGACCATGAAGATCATTCCTAAATATTAAGGAAGTTTATTTGCTATGGAAGCTTACATCTTCCATACTTACTTCTTACTATATTAAAAACATACTGTGTGTGTGTGTGTGTGTATGTATATATATTTGCAAAGTTTATATTTATAAGAAATTCAGATAAAAAAAAGTTTGAACTGAGTTAGAAACTGCAATTATGAGGGGGAAAAAGCCTGAATATTGAGATGAAATGTCAATGACCTATTCGATGGTGGAAATGAGTTTCGATATTTTACCGCTGCTTTGTATGTGTGTGCTTTTGCAGAACTCACCAATCAGTGCCTTCTGCCAGGTATCTGGGCTGCTGTGGGATTGGCTGAGGGACATGGAGGGGCGGAGCATATTCATATCCTGGACGTAACCGATTCGTGTTCAGTGGGACTCGCTCCTGTGTGCGTCTGAAGAGATGCGACAGTATGAGGAATAGAATGGACCTTTTATCTATCAATTGTTTGTTTCTCTTTATTTTGTCTTTTACCTTAAAGAAAGATAACTTTTGTATAACTGAACATGCACAGGTGTGTGTTTCTACCTGCGCTGCAGTAGCTGTTGCTGGATGAGGTATTGCTGCTGTAAGGCCTGAGGTAAGAAAGGGGGCGGGATTTCCTGGTACTGAGGCGGGGCGAGGGGAGGGGGCGGGAACTCAGCAGGCAGCGACGTTGCCGTAGCAGCCAGGTGAAAATGCCGGCAGGAGGTAGCATGACTATGCTGGTGCCTGCTAAAATGTGCTCCTGTACGGGACAAGCAATAACCCATCAGAGATCAGCGACAACATATGAAGATGACAAGGCTATGGTCCAGAATGCTGTGCTCAATATGCAAAATAAACCTATTTACTTACAAGATAATAACTGGATGCCATTTACCTAACATGACATTATGTGACAGCCATTGTTGTACACGGCTTTTTAAAATGTAAAAAGGTTTCACAAATTTAGACTGATTCAGGAAACAAGCAGTTGTCTTAAATCATTTATAAATCGTTTCATAAGTAAATAATTTTTTTTTTCATATATATATTTTTTAAATAGTATGCAGTATACTGCAAAAAATGCACAGCATTCAGTAAATAGTACATTGATATTCCATTCTAAATACATGTAGTTTGCAAAATATCACTTAATTGTTTTTTTTTTACCATGGTAACAAGTTTATGCAAAAATACCACATTTACTGCAGTTGTTGTTACTGCAGACAAACTTGTTTCTGTTTTAGTCATCAATAAAACATGAAAATAATAATAATAAATAAAAATAACCAACAAAATAAATGTTATAGAAATACTTCTACTTTAATGTTTGTCATCAGTAAAACATGAAAATAAATAGAATAGCAAAATAAATACCTAAATTAAAAATGAAAAATACTGTTATTGTCAAAAAAAACAAACTTAATTTGGTATTAGCCACTGACAAAATAAATTAAATAAAACATCAGTAAATAAACATTCTAAAAAAGGTAATTTTAAAATTCAAATGTACTATTTTTAAATTCAATGTACTTTTTATATAGTAAAAATAATATCTGAAGTATAGAAACTGTTTACCATGGTAAATGTTTGTAAGTGTTAGTGATGTGGTGTATTATCTTATTAGCGGGACATGAAGCAGAAGCAGAGGCCGTTCTGATTGATGTCCTGCATTAGAGAATATTACCTGTTCTTTATTTAACTGAAGCCAGCTGACGATTCTTACACTGTGACACCTTGCTGGATCTAACGGCCCGCATTACGGCAGGTAGGACTCGTTCTTTATCTGGACTACCACAGATTTAACTGATCCCATTCCCTCAGGATTAGCTGTGTTTTTTCAGGGGAAATTTTTCTAGACCTAATGGTGTCAGGCTGGAGAGCTCGTTTAAGATGGAATGTATCCATCTTATTTTTAATATAAATTTGGAAGCCCATTTCCACCATGTAGGCAAAGAAAAAAAACCTCCTACATCATCTGCCCGGAACTGCTTCCGTGTACAACTTTTGGCCCAAGCTACATTAAAGTGATTACGTTTTGAATATGGATATTTTTCTTACAAAAACGTATCGATTTGCTACAGGAGGCCTTTGTTCACCCCCCGGAGCCATGTGGGGGACACTTTTTTTTATGGATGGGCGCTTTTTATTTAACTTCTTTTGGACTGATGCATACAACACCCGCTGAGTGACATGAAACAGCTTGAAAGATCAAAGACAATTTTTTATATAACTCCGACTGGATTCGTCTGAAAGAAGAAAGTCATATACACATAGGATGACTTGAGGGTGAGTAATTTATGGGCAAATTTTCATTTTTGGGTGAACTAACCCTTTAAAGGTGGGGTAAGCGATTTTTCAAAAACGCTTTGGAAAACTGATTCGGGCCGAATAGCAAAACAAACTGGTAGTCAATCAGCAGTAAGGGGTGTGTCTACTCATGATGTGGAGGAGAGAGAGTTCAGTGCACAGGACGGACATTAGCCGAGCGACAGAAAGATAGAGATGGCGGATAAAAAATAAAAGCGGAAACCGTCTGCGGAACAAAAGAAGGCTTAAGGCAATAAGGCAAGAAGTAGGACCCGTGTAAATATCGGATGAGCTTTCCAGCGCTGGAGAGAACTCAAGGAGCAGAAGGCCTGCGATCGGACGCCGAGGTTGCTTTGTTTCTTCTCGATAGGCGAGTAACACAGTGTCTGCGCCACAACAGCTAAAGTCCATCTAGTACACTGGACGCAACAAAGCGACCGTTGAAATGAATGAAATTTGTGTCAATACGTCATGAATAGAACGCAGCAGCAGTTTTCTGTCGGGGATTTGTTGTGTCGTACCGCATCCAGTGTAGACCATAGATACAGTGGTGTGAAAAATTGTTGGCCCCCTTCCTGTTTTTAAAATTTTTTGCATATTTGTCACACTTAAAAGATTCAGATCATCAAACTAATTTTTATATTACACAAAGATAATGCAAGTAAATACAAAATGCAGTTTTTAAATGATTATTTTATTAAGGGAAAAAATGTGTCCAAACCTGCCTTGCCCTACGTGAAAAAGTAATTGCCCCCTAAATCTAATAACTGGTTGTGCCACGCTTTGCAGCAACAACTGCAATCAAGTGTTTGCGATAACTGGCAATGAGTCTTTCACATCGCTGTGGAGGAATTTTGGCCCACTCTTCTTTGCAGAATTGTTTTAATTCAGCCACATTGGAGGGTTTTCGAGCATGAATGGACTGTTTAAGCATCTCAATCTTCTTTCATGATTTAACAGGAGGGGGCAATTATTTTTTCACGTAGGGCCACGTAGGTTTGGACAGCTTTTTTCCCTTAATAAATGAAATCATCATTTAAAAACTGCATTTTGTTTTTACTTGCATGATCTTTGTGTAATATTTAAATTTGTTTGATGATCTGAAACATTAAAGTGTGACAATCAGGAAGGGGGCCAACACTTTTTCACACCACTGTATGTGTGTATATATATATATATATATATATATCTCTCTCTCTATGGTGTAGACCGCATCACTGATTATGAGTTTCATAGTATTTTGTCGCGCCGCACCACTCGCGTCCGGTGTAGACACGATGTAACATTGGTTTTGCTTTGGCCTTAATGACAGGTGGATCGGCCCTAATGACAGGTGTTTATGAGAGTGGACCCGGCTGATTCAGCAGTCACATGGATTCGGTGACGGACATAATACAGACAGATGGAGGGGTGGGGGGTTTCAGGGACACACAGAGGGGGAGGGAATGATGGGATTGAGGAGGGGGAGGGGAAAGAGAGAGAACTGGAGGGGGAGGAAGGGACTGTTTGACAGCTGCTTCTCAAAGTTCTATTTCAGCCGTTCAGCTGTCCAGCTCTCACACACACACTGGGTTTCCATGTTTTATGGGTCTTTCCATATACATAATGATTTTTATAATGTACACTGTATATTCTATCTCCCAACCCTAAAATGACCCCTGAACAACTCAAAGAAAAGTTTCTGCATATTTAGCATGAAAAAAAAAGGCCCCACAAGATCAAAAATTTTGGGTTTTACTATCCTTTTCCAACAACATAGGGAATACCTGAACCACACACACTTGCCAAAATTTAAAAGTTTGCTACTTCCTAACATAATCCTGCTTTGGTAGAAAACCTTTATAGAATTGTATTAATTAAACCGATTTTTGGAATAGTTTGTGGTTTGTATAATTTTGCGGTCAGATGCTCTTTAAACTGTAAAATTGCAATGATATGTACAGAAAAAGAGATGAAAGTAGCATATAATATATATATATATATATATATATATATATATATATATATATATATATATATATATACACACACACACACGACTGTCCAAAAGGTTATGGTCTGTAAGATTTTTTTATGTTTCTCAAGGTAGTCTCTTTTGCTCTTTTATTTGATCAAAACACAGCAAAATAATCAGAAACGATGTGAAATAATTACTACTTAAAATAGCTCTTTTTTACTTTAATATATTAAAAAACTTATTTATTCTAATGACCAAAGCTGAATTTTTTCAGCATCATTACTTAAGTTTTCAGTGTCACATGATCCTTCAGATACGCTGATTTGCAGCTCAATAAATATTTCTTATTAAGCAGCGGTTTTCAACATTGATAAAATTTGCATTAAAACTGTGATACATTTTTTTCAGGATTGTTTGATGAACAGAAAAGAACAGCATATATTTTAAATAGAAATCCTTTAAGATTATAAATGTCTTTATCGCTATGGATTAATTCAGTGCATCCTTGCTAAAAAACAATTGTATTTTCGTAAAAAAAACAAAACAAAAAAAAAATAATATATATATATATATATAAAATTCACCCCAAACATTTGAACAGTAATGAACTAGTTGGGCTAGTGTCTTATTTCTTTCTTCTCACATAATATTTTTCAAATCAATATTTCAAATGCATTCACCTATATGTTTGACAAGTAGCAAAATAAACATTCTTAGGGTGGTATTTGTGATAATGACTATACGGCTACATGTTAATCCTCACATATGGTGTTAAGTTTATTAAAGATGTTAAAACTCAAGTGTCATTTATGTTAAAATAATTTCTCGTAGCCCAGCTTAATATGCAGAAAACTCAAACATCCCTCCTTATGTAGAGAAGTGTGTTACTGCCACAATAATGCAAGTACAGTATAAACAATGTCTGGTCATTCAGATCTGTGTTTGAGTAATGCAGAATGAAGAGTGGAACACTATTGGTAAAGTTGTGATGGCAAAAAAAGCATGAATCTGACCTCTGCCTTAAAAGAATAGCTCACACAAATTAATACCGTGCCATCATGTTGTTCTAAACCTGTATGACGGCATGTTTCTTCTACTAAACACAAACACACACAAAAGATATTTTGAAGAATGTCGAGTTCAAACAACATTGGACACCTTTGACTTTCACTGTACACTGTAAACAATTTACGGTAAAATACCGGCAGCTGTGGTTGCCGGAATTTTACCGTAAAAAAATACGGTAGCAATGTTTTAGGTTTTAACTTAAATTTACAGTTAAATACCGTAATTTCATTAACTGATATAATGTTAACATACCAACCTATTGAAGTACTGAAATCTGTTTTGTACCTTTGTAATACACTGATAACCACCAAATGCATTTGGTGATGAGGAAGTCACATGATGAATCAAAGCCCATCACAAGCAGCTTTAAATAAAGAAGGTGCACCGTGTCATTCACACAAACACTAAACACCATCATGGTAACACAC